ATCTGTTGCATATGCTTTCACAACATGGTGACAGTTTGAACAAATACTGATACAAAAACTGATTATTGTAAAAATTACTGCAGCTTTAAATTGAGCACTAAAACATAATTAAGCATATTTTTTTTACCCCTCAGCTTTGGAGCAGCCTTCCTGAAGATCTGTTGGAAGCTGAGAGTTTGGATGTTTTTATTGTAAAAGCAATGCTTTATGGTTTAACTTTTACATGTGATAGTTTTTTGCAATATTAGAAAGAATTCCATGATCCAATCATATTTGAATGTTTTATTTCCATTTAAGCTTTTAAGAGTTTGGCAAGTTCTATAATCTTATTGACAATATTCTTATTTTGGATTTTATAATTATCTTGAATTGAGCATTTCTATACATTTTGTTTATTTAATGCATTTATTTTTGTAAATTTATCTTCAGAGTTTCGACAATTGTATTTCCTTAATTCATTGTCTCCTTTCTCTTTCGTTTCATTCTCTACATGTGAAAAACTATGGCACGGTAAGAGGTCAGTTTGAAAGATCACATCAACATCAAACAGAGAAACCATTCCTCTCTGTTGGCACGCTACCAAAACTGTGAATCATTTCGCTTGGTTTGTTTCGTTTCACTATCAGCCTTGATAGTGAAACAAAAGTGATAGTGATACTTTGAAAAAACCCCACCCAAAAAATTCAAAGGAAGTGGTGAATATATAACGTATATTTCTTTTCAAAAACGAAACCATAAAACTTCAAAGGAAAACAGTGAGAAAAACCTGCCTAGGCGGTTTTTCATCTAACATGAATTAATAGCTGGCACTGTTTCATAACATAACAACTTGTATGGAAGGATAAAACAAATCCTAACATGGTTACTGCCTGACATTCTTATTTCTGTTGTACATTTGACATTCACAGACCAGAGTAACATCATGTTTCCTATACTGGCTCTCCTCTCGGTCATATTGTGAGTTTGAGCAAAGAGATTTACTGTTGTAAGGCTCGTCTCTGCCTGTATCAGTTTCACCCGGTGTGGAGGAAATGGTAAACGACCCACTGTTAACTTTACTCATAAATCTCAGATATGAGTCAATGTCCCTGTATCCAGTCCAGCTGAGGACATAATGCAACACTGTTCTGCACACACTGAATGTGTTGAAACAGGCAGCATTATGCCCAGCTTCATCTATAAATCTAGAAGCTTAAGGTTAGCATGTTTGAGGCCAGGGATGAACTGACCGTCTGGTGTAATGGGCAACGCTTGGTTGACTGATGCCCAACCAGAGACTCTCAGAACTTAACCAATTTTTATGGACGTCGATGGGCCTTTGATTGATTTCCTTGAAGGACATTGAGCTACTCCATTCCATCAGTCCTTCTTTGCTCGCACCTCCCCTTCAGTCTGAGTTTATAAATTTAGCAATTTCAGCTGAAGGGAGTCGGAGAGAAGAGAGTGGACACGTGATGGGTCTTGCCCTTAAGAGTTGCAAGAACAAAGGCAAACACCACTAGACATGACCCAGGGACACGTCTGTCTCATTGACCTCTTCCTTAATCTTCCACAGATTGAGGAAGAGGTCAGATTAGCTGACCTCTTCCTCAATCTGTGGAAGACTGCAGTTTGTGAGTGAGTGAGTGAGTGAGTGAGTGAGGATAGCCTACACATAAACTAGCATGCAGTGAGTAGCACACTGAGATAACAGAGGAATACAGGAATGGTGACGGTGCATGGAGTTAACACTAAACATGTTTTGGGATGTGTGATGATACTGATAATAATTAGTGAATTGAATCTGTAAAAAAGGTAACGAAAAAGACAGAAGAGTCAGAAAACAGTCATAATTCATGCAATTAAAGTTAAAAATGTTAAAACATGATTGGAGACATATCTTTACTAAATACTATCAGGGGAAGTTGTAGTCAACTTGTTGAAATGCTCAAAATAGGAAATAATTACAAGATTTAAACATCAATAAAACCTGAAACAAACAAACTTGAAACATGCATAATGATATTTGATTATAAAGTTATCAGGGATCTGTTATTTATGACTTTATATTTGTGTTTTTTTATGATGTAAAGCACTTTGAGCTGCCTTGTTGCTGAAATGTGCTGTATTACGCTCTCACTTTCCCTCTCAGTAGAGAAAGTGAGAGTGTTGGTTTTATATCCTTTCAAATAATGTAGGTTTTACAGCTTACAATGTCACAGTGTTTCTCAATTATTTTCTGTTTCTGTCCTTTACGAATGTGTACAAATGTTTCTCTATATTCTTATGATGCTGAAAAAACGCAATGTCACAATTCAGGTGTTTCCATTGAATAAGAAAATAAATCAAAATCACATGTGAAATAGCAGGCTCAAACAATAAGTCATTAAAAATCATGGCAGCGACCAATGGAAACGACTACGTGAGATTATATTCAGTCAATGCTCATCATGTATCAGCCAGGAGGAGACGTAGGAACGACAAAACCCTTTATTTGGGAGTGGCTCCGTAGGCGAAAAAGTACAAACGTTTTTCAACTTGGAATTTTTAACCTTCGCCAGCTTTCATATTATGTTTGAAAGCGACAGAATTACAGCACTCTTAATGTAAAGTTATGATATAAATATGATTTTGTTTCAACAGAAATACCCATGGTTTAGAAATTTTTGCATGACTCTGAGAAATTTGAATGACTCTCAGACACTCCAGAGTTTTTGGAGCATTCTGGTTTCCCAACAGTATTATATCCTGATGCATGTGTATTGATTACATACCTGCATCAGGAAATGAAACGTTATTATCAATTTGAAACACAAATCCACCACAGAAATGTTATGTTTCTGCTCAACACCTACAAAATTGCCATCTCATATAATTTGAGCGACAGTATTACGAAAAATGCCAGGTGGGTTAGGGTTAGGGTAGGTTCGTGATGTGAGAAATCAAAGGCAAGCCAGCAAGTTAGAATCAACCAAACTTTAATAAAATGCAAAGATATCTTCGGAGATCCAAACAGAAAAAATGCGTAGAAGAGCTCAGTCAGATCTGGAATACATTCTGATTACCTGCATTTATATAGATTTAAGCCACACTTAAACTGCACAACAATATTACGGCACCACCTGCTCGCAAAGCTAATGATTTTGGTTACTTTCAACAATTTCAGTTATGAATCCTAATTCTTGGTTCGGTCAACTTGACCAGGACAGGAATGTGAGCACATAATATCCCACAAAAAGCAGAGCTGTGCTGTGATATTATTGTAGCAGATCATAATCAGTTAGTTAATATAAGCTTCAATACCTGCATGCATTGGTTGCTTTATCACCAGACCATTATTTTCTCTTCGCACAATCAGTGACTCATGATGCATGCAGCATTTTAATAAAAATAAAGTTAAAAAGACAAAATTAAATATTGTAGGTCCAAATAGGCTCTTAGAGAGTTGTCTTATTAAAAACAAAATGTGCTCAATCTGTTAACTTTTTTTTATTAAATGTTCTCAGTTTTTCTGAACTGAAAATATTTTAATTCAACAAGAACAACTGTACCTAGTGAAAGGATATGAACATCTGCTTTTGAGTGAAAAATTGCTGGATATTTGTGGCCTTACTATGAAATTAACTATAGAGCATAATAAAAAGGCTAATAAAGATAAATACCGTTTAACCTAACATTGAACACAAAAAAGAAATACATTTGTTTTTGAATATCTCATGCTAAAAAAAATACATATTCATTAGCATAGCTACACTTTGAGCCATCTTCTGATAAACTTCTCAATCTCTTGAGCTTTGTGGCATGATGATGATGATCTTGGACTTTTTCAATTAGAAAAAATCTTCATCTTTGCAGTGCAGTCAGAAAATCAGGACCCACGTGTAACAGAATACTTGTAACATTGAATAAGTGCAGCTGTGAAAAGAAAGGCATTTATATAACTTTATTATAAATACTTGCATCCTTGAATCCTGAAAAAGCGTTAATAGTAATATCTGGAAACTTTACCTAATTTACAGCATCCTTTGTGTTTCTCTTCAGTTCATCATATAGTTTCTCCACTATTCCAAGCTCAGTTGAAACATCTAAGTATTTTTAAATAGACATTTATTATCTTAGAAACCCACATATATACAGATTGCTAAAAAATAGATACAGGTTGGCTGATTCACCTGGAATGGAGTGGTCGTCAGTCCTGAATGAGAGCTCCAAACATTCCTCCATGGTACTTTTCACCGATTCCAGGATATCGTCCTTAAATCAGCAAGATTGTTTAGCAAAGTAATTGTTACAATTTGAGTCCATGGCTAAAATTGGCATGAAATCCCTCTTTAAATAATATTTTAAACAAACCTCCAAGCTCTTGAGTTCAGTCAACATAACATCTTTAGCCTTGTCAAACATGGTGTCCTTTGATTTTTTGACATGGGTTTCAATTGTTTCCCTTATGTTTTTCAGTGTGTCAGCTTTTGAAAAACCAGCAGCCTCTGTAGCCACAAGCCCCCCACCACACCAAAGAAAAAAATAGCAATAGCAAAAAACTAGGTTAAATATTTGTGCAATTATAAACATGGGGCATTTTAATGAAAGGTTTTACATCATATTAATGTCCGTACTCTTGTAGCATGGTTTCATGCTTTCCTCAATTGTTTTTGTTAAACTGTTGTACACTGTTTTCTTGCGATCTCGAATCACTTTGTTCAACTCTGACTGAATCTTTTCTTCCTAAGAAAATCAGAAAAAAATATATTTTTATTACACAGGAGTATTTTACATAGTTTTAATTACTCAATTTCTTTTGGTTATCATTAAATTTCTCAAAAGCAAACATTTTTGATTAAGTTTTACAGATATTCATCTAAGCAAATTTAATATTTAAATAATCTAAATATTGAGCATTCAGCTTTAGCTTACCTCTGTCTTCAGAAAGTTCAGCAGCAGGTCCACACCACTGTATTTACTTTTTAGCTTTTCAGTGTCAAGTGAAAACTTGTTGATCACACCATTGAATGGGCCATTTTTTCCTTTAGTTCTGAAACATTTGACAGATTGTAATAATTTATGTGTATTGAACTAAATAATCTACATTTGAAGGAACTACTTTTATGGTAGCATCTCAATGCACATATGTTCTTACGGGAAGGTCTTTCTGAATTCCTCATCAATGCTATTAGCCAAGGGTGACGTAAGCTTCATGTTTAAATTAATTTCCTGCTTCTTTCTGGGTTTGTAGATCCCACCATTTTGGACGACACATTGCAATGTCCGCCAGAAGGAACGGCCGGACCGCTGACAAAAAAACAAAACAAAACAAAAAAAAACAAAAAACAAACTAAGTATTTCAATCACAAATTGCGGAAAATAAATAGCTTTTTATGTTTACTGTCACAATCCGTACTCGAGGATGCAGGACAGTCCTCAAAGTATTTTCACAGCAACTTTTGCTTTTTTCAACACCTTCATTCAAACATTTTTCAAAATCTGAGTACGTCTCATCCAGTGATTTTTTGATTAGTTCAAGCTGAGAGTTTTTGTTTTTCTCAAGTTCATCATAGACATCTTCAGTTTTGCCAACCTAAAGCAAGGAAACAAAAAACAATAGTTATTCCAGTTAAAAACATTAAGGTTATCATTTTAATAAATGTTGGTTCTCATGAACATCCTCAGACTCTCCCATGGTGACTGGTGTTCAAAAAACTCTGCTTTTGAGAATGGATGGACAGCCTTTCTTGAGGACAAAGTTCCCCCTCAAGTGTCAAGTTTCACACTTCCATGATGCAATAGTGTTTAAGTTTAAAAATATCACATGTTCATTGTCTGTGTCCAAAGGGTCAGCAATCATCCAGTTTGAGGAAGTTTGGCAGTTTAGCGCTTTCATTTTTTAAATATGCAATTTCTCCTGAAATCTTACTTTCAGAAAATATTAGTGCCATAATGAGGAGTTTTCTTCTGCAGCCTTACCGTTCCTCTTAAACTGGTCCCTTGAATTAAAGAAAGAATCCCATAAGCTCCAGAAACATAGTTTAATGTCTCTGAGTGACAGTCATTCAGATCTTGCAAAACTTTCTGAAGCTTGGGTATTTCTGTAGAAACAAAATCATATTTATATCATGACTTTACATTAAGATTGCTGTAATTCTGTAGTTTTCAAACATAATGTGAAAGCTGGCAATGGTCATTGATATACTTCATTTATGCACACAAGAAAACAAATTCCAAGTTGAAAAAGTCTATTTGATGCCAAAAGTTCAAAGGTTTCACTCCAGCACCAAAATGACTCCTTCACACCTAAAAACTTGTCAGTGAATTAAGATTCTTTCATTAGTTTATAACTTGTTAAATTTGTCATACCTTGTGCGCAACCTCTATTAATGAGAATGGTGCTACATGTGTTTCAGCGCATGCATTTGGATTTAATTGGTATATCGACAGCAGATTTTCAAGAGGATGGAACATACCAGAGTGTTCTTTCAGTTCTCCTACCAGAAACTCCTTAGAGCTCACTGTGAACACTTCAAAATTATCTTCACTGAAGTGTTTCTGTAGAAAATTGATTGATTATTAAGTTTTGTTCTAGATATGGACAATGTTTTATTTTCTATAAACTTGGCTCACCTTCACATTGTGTAGCTTTTTGAATTCCTCTTTGACTGCTTCCTTGGTCTTCATGTTTCTGTCAAGTATGAGGTTCAGACGGTCCTCTGCTGTGCTGAAAGATAAAATATTATTGTATGGAAATGGACATGTACATGGACATTTAAGTTTGGGAACTTCAATACAGAGACACATGGGACAAACAACTATGTGTGCACACTAACACTGTAAGAGCAGTTTGGAGAAACTAATTTCAGCTAACAGTCATGTTTTGGGGTGGTGGGAGGATGCCAGAGTTCCCAGAGAGAACCCACACACACACAGGCAAACTCCATACAAAAAGTACCCCAGGTCAAACTCTGGACCTTCTTGCTACAAGGCAAAAGCGCAAATATGAAACTTTATTGTGGTCAATTTTAGCAACTTTCTTTCTTCACTTACTGTTGTTGAAAATCTTCAAAAACGTCAGACTTGGTGCAGATAAAGTGAATGTTCTGGCACTCGCCACCGTTTCCCATGAGACTAGCAGTACTTTTCAGAATCTGCCAGCTTTCTATTTCCGATGCTGATCGGGTGATGAAAGCCACAATCCAAACGGTGGAACATTTTCCAACAATCTGAAATTTCACATATTGTTTAATTGCAAGTAGTTTTTAAGTAAAGTGCTAACATGTTACAAGTTTCACTCATCACAATTTTCTACAAAAATTTACCTCCTTCCACATTTGATCTCTGCTCTTGTTACGGTCTCCATTTCCAGGAAGGTCCACCAGAGTAACATGCTGAAGAAGAGGAATGTTTGGCACTTTGACAGTCACACACTTCACCAGAGGCCAATACAACCTCTTAAGCTTTTTGCCTTCTCCTTGGTTTGGATCATTTTTTGTGTACTTGGCAATTCCTTCAGAGAGCATTTCAGCCTGAAACAAAAAACATGATGGTTATGATTTCTTTGCAAAAGAAAACAAACTGAACAAACCATATTTGTTCAGTTTGGTTTCTTGTGTGTAACACACTGCATACTCAAATAAGGATAAATAATTTGACTGAGAATCACCAAATGTCTTGTGGGAATTTGGTTGTGCAATCAACATGTGTTTAGTGGATCTGGAGAAGGATAACAATCCCTGGAGAATTTTGTGGAGGATCTTATGTGGGTAGGTGTAAAATTTTATGTGCTCAAAGCAAGAACCCTGCTTGCCACCTTGGCATGGTGTCAAAAATGTCCCCCAATGTATGTTGGACTACACCAGGACTGCCACTTGTCTTCATTAGAGATTTTCTTGGACAAGATCTGAAGGCATAATCATAAAGTGGTTATTAAGGTTCCCAGAACCTTAATTTATCTGTTTTGTTTGTTGAAGATTTTGTGGTTGTGTTGGCAGCTTCAGCTTTGTCTCCCTTAATGTAATGGAGAAAGAAGCCAAAAAGCAAAGCTCTTGCTTTATGTATGTTCCGACTATCTCATGGTAACTTGCAGTGTCGTCACTCTGTCCATATGCATGATGCACTGTGCATAGGACTCCAAGTGCCTGGGGGCTCCATAAGTTTAATTTGTGAAAAATTATCATAGAAATAAAAAATAATATATTAGGCTATATGGGAAATAAAAAGAGACTATTATTTTTATTTAATATATTATATTTGATAGTACTAAGATCTATTATATATTCATATGAAACACAGCGTTACAAGCAGAATATATCTCCCTTACTGAGTGAAAGGTCAAGGTTTTTGTTTTGGATTGAAGAAACTCTGGGATCTCTCTGAAGTTTTTGGGATCCATAAATTCATCTGGTTTTGTTTGTTTCCTGTCCTTCCCATAAAGTGCTGACAACTTGTTTTCATAATCATCATCTTCATTATCATCACTATCATCTTGACAACCATCTTCATCATCGTTTTCTTGATCCATATGATCACAAAGATATTGACACATTGACCACACCTCATCTTGCCATTCCTACAAAAGCAGAAACAATATTTGTTCAGTTCAGTTTGGCTTTTGTTTAACCAAAGATGTTTGAGTATGCAATGTTTGAGTATGCAAATGTGTCGTCCAAAACGGTGGGATCTACAAACCCAAAAACAAGCAGGAAATTAATTTAAACATGAAGCTTACGTCACCCTTTGCTAATAGCATTGATGAGGAATTCAGAAAGACCTTCCCGTAAGAACTTATGTACATTGAGATGCCACCAGAAAAGTAGTTCCTTCAAATGTCTAGATTATTTAGTTCAATAGACTTAAATTATTACACACACTGCATACTCAAATAAGGATAAATCCTTTTTTTTATAGTCCTGTTTACCTCTTTAGTGATAAACTCAATCTCTGCCTCATATTTGTCTTCCATGTTTGCTTCGACTTTAATCATGACTGAGGTACAAGCGTTGAGATCTCCAATGGGCAGAAGGTTTGCTTGACCAATAACAGCATTAATCAAAGAACTCTTTCCAGCTCCAGTTTTACCAAAGACACCAACCATCTCCCTCTTGTCTATGCTCAGTTTAGTGATTTCATTCCTGTTGAGAGCAAAAATAAATTGTAGATGCCAGTATGATATAGAACAATAATAAATCTAAAGATGACATATTAGTAAAAGTTAATACATTATGTATGTGACATTAAATAAATTCTGAATACATGTTAATATACACTGCTCAAAAAAATAAAGGGAACATTCAAATAACACATCCTAGATCTGAATGAATGAAATATTCTCATTGAATACTTTTTTCTGTTCAAAGTTGAATGTGCTGACAACAAAATCACACAAAAATCATCAATGGAAATCAAATTTATTAACCAATGGAGGCCTGGATTTGGAGCCACACACAAAATTAAAGTGAAATGTTCCCTTTATTTTTTTGAGCAGTATATTTAGCTTCCTTCATTGGTTGTGTGATTCAGTGACTGGAAGTATATCTTCTAAATGTATCCACATTATGTATAGATATTAATCTGTACTGACTTCCATGTCTATTTAGATTCTCATTTGCAATAAAATTCAGTCATTCTTGTCATTACAAGTTCTTACATAACTAAGCCTATAGTGTGTCATTATGCAGTGAAGCATGATAGGCTTCCTGTTCCCCCACTATGAGCTGAGCACTCTCAAAATAACAATATTTTATTTATTTCAGCTATTTGTGATGACTCAAGACGGTGACAAGTTAGTTGCATGTTTAATCCTAGTCTGTTTTATGTCCATGCAGATGTTTGTATATATAAATAATTATTTTTACACCATTTGCCAATATGTGGCTCTACAAAAAACTTATCAAAAATATTTTTGTTAGTTTGCCACTCAAGTTCAAGAAATTACACAGTCAACATCTTTTAGAGTTCTAGTTATGGTTAACTCATAATAACTAATAATTAAAATGCAAGCCTGTTTGGAAACCGTTTTGTGAGATTGCTGCAAGAACAAAAGAAAGATACTTACTTCAGGAAATTATTGAGCTTGTTGTTGTCCTGTTGGAACAGTTTGCTATGGATGTGCACCATTATCTTTTTAACATCAGACAATATCCTTGCTTCTGTCATTAAAAATAAACATTAGCAGGGTTATAAATCCTCTGCCACTGCTTTTGTTTTACCGAAGATGTTCTGTGTTTGGTTTAACATGTGTGCTGTTGTCTTTGTGGCTAAGGAAGAAAATGAATGTTGCAGTACCTGAAAACGGCACTGCTCCACAATGTTGCTTTGCTGCTGGTTTCTCTGCACTGGACTCAAACTCAGGTTCCAGCTTTCTCTTTGCTAGTTAGAAAAATACATTGTATTTGGGTTTACTTATCAAGTTGTCTTATTAAAAATTACTGTATAAATTGATAGTATTGTTACTGACCTGTACCACTTGTTGAAGCTGAAAACTAAGAGAAAAAACTGATATTTGACTAAATCCAAGATTTTATTGACTTCAATAAATATTTATTTCTCTCAAAAAGATGAAAAAATACACATTTGTTTGTATTCCAATAAAATAAATATAGATTAATGTTGGAAAAATGAATAAAAAAGTCTCACTGTTCTTACTTCATTCAGGTAGCTCAAGGTTTCCATCTCCTATTCACAAAGCAAGCAAAACCATCGTGTTAGGAAATAAAGCAAAGCAAAACCATAGATTTAATATGTACTATCTCACAAAACATCAAACAAAAAACTTACTTCTGAAGGGACAAACTCTGTCTCCTGATTTTGCTTGTGTTGTTGCTGTGAAGCATATTTGTACAAACCAGAAAACAGTTAGTGTGAAAATTTATATTCTCAATACTGTTGATTGTGTGTAATCTCATATAGCCGAAGCATTTGCATTAACTTTTGAGTGTTAGCTTTTACCCTCAAAGACTTGAGTCTCCTCTTGAATCGAACCCTTGGTCCAACTTTTGGAATCAAGTCCTTGATGTCTTCATCTTCCAGTCCAAAGAAGCTTTCAGTGTCGATTTCTTGATCTGTAATAAAATATATTGTCATTAATTCTTAATAAGAACATTGTTCTAAAGAGAAACTTTGTCTAACATAAATAATAAACACATTGATTAAAACACCATGCAGGTGATGATGCACAACTTCTGTTTAACTGCTAAGAATCAGCAGGTGAAAGACTAACATGTGTGCTGTACTTATTTTAACTATTTACTGTTGTTACGCTTCCTTTTATTTACTGTAGCTTATCAAATTAAAAATTAAAAACAGGAGTAACATGGATGTCTTTTTGACTGTTTGTAGATCAGACATTATGAATAAATTACAGTGCTTGCAACAAGAACACAAATGCTTTACCTTTAAATCTGTATATCCAGGCACTTAGTCTCCATTGACGTAGTTTGTCACGAACAAAATCATCCATGATGAAAAAGAGAAGCTGTAATATAGTCAGGGTTTCACATTACATTAGGTACTGTAGAGAATAAAATCATTAACTTCTGGCTCGTTCTATTCTCTTGTGCTCCCGGATTCATTGATTCCATGCATGGAAACAAAAGCCACATAGAGGTTTTTGTTTCGATGCATGGAATCAAAACAAAAACCACATAGAGGCTTTTGAAAATGTTTTTCCACATAGAGGCTTTTGAAAATGTTTTTCCACATAGAGGCTTTTGAAAATGTTTTTCCACATAGAGGCTTTTGAAAATGTATGACGCCCCACGTCAAACATTTTCAGAGTTTATTCTAACATTTAAAAGTATAAAATCACATTGACAACACAGATACTTCAAACACACTAAAAAAGACATTCATTTACCTGAGACAAATAGAAAAGAAGAAAGAAAGAAAGAAAGAAAGAAAGAAAGAAAGAAAGAAAGAAAGAGAGAAAGAAAGGCAAAGACGTCTTTGGAGAGTTGCAAAAGCAAATCTAGTTTGTTCCTCACGTGCACAAATTTTTTATAGTACAGGCGTATTCTTCTCTTTAATTTATTCAAATAAGGTGTACCTTCGCTCATCCAACTAGGGACAGTCTCTGACCATCTTAAAAGTTAGAAACTCCCTACAATTTCTTTTCAAGATCAAACACCAGTTGTCACCTTTATCTAAACAAAGTGGAAGCAGAGCTTCTCCTCTAATGGCCTGAACTCCTGCTGTTTTATGGCTTTTCACAGATCTGTGTGAAAAGCTGGAACTTCTCCTGATTGTTTCCCACACAGACAAAGGGCAGTTCAAAAGATCTTGGCAAACAATCTGCTGTAACTACAGGTAACATAAAGGTCAATAGGGCAGAATAAGTTATTAATCTGAAAACTACAATTAGGCTATTTCAATCAAGACATGTTAACAACTAGGAGATATTACAAATTAGATTATGTGTTTTACAGATATTCTGTGTTGTATTCAGTTTTACACCAGCTGTTTAAATCATATTAAGATGGCCAAAAGGTTAAACTCACACAACAGCCACGACCCCATGTGAATGCCTGCTCAGTNCACANGGAGGTTAGCTGTGTTTTAAATTATACAGAACTACAAGCTAAATTATTTTAATTCAATTTTAAAACTAAGAGACAAAAATGTTTCAATGTATAATGTTTCAATAGAAATATCCTACATAAGAGATTACGCTGATTGAACCATGGATATAATTTGGAGCAAATTTTCTTATTTAAAACACTATTAATTTTATCTAATATTGTACATGTGGTTAAGTTTTAAAAATAGCATATTTTAAATGTATTTTTTAACAGTACATCAGTTATGCTGATAGATTAAAACTTAATTTAATCAGAACAAGTTACCTGAAAATTACCAGATTAAAACAAAATGGTCTTTTGGTAACCTTATCTCATTCTGTTTAAACACTTAGCTTGCTGAAATTAGTCTAATTAAATAAAGAATGTTTTCACAACAAAATTTTATTTCCTAGAAATCTTTTGCAACTGTTATTTAAATATTTAAAAATTCACCGAGTTCTGGTTTTGAGCTAAGCTCATAATGACCCAACAAAAGAAGGCCTCTTTACTTCTTTGTTAAAAAATTATCAAGTGAAACAGGTGTAGCATTCAATATGTAATGCAGAGTCTGTAGATCTCTAATATGTTCATATTGAACTCCTTACTTTTTACAGTATAAAAATAAAATCCTACCTGTTTTTGATGTTCAGAACAAAACGAAAAGAAACCGAAAAAGAAAAATATCTACAATAGTATGATATGAATTATGTGGCAGACTTTGTGACAAAGACAAAGGGTGATCACGCAGCAACAAATGGGGCATTACATGCGGAACTGGAGAGCAGCAAGGTACAAAGTTTAGTAACAGACAGAGAGGCGTGGCTGAGTATGAAAAGACAGGACAGGAAGTAGACTTTGAAAAAGAGAAAACAAGCAAAATGTGTGTGTGGGATGTATGCTTGAACAGGTGTGTTGCTATCTCTGTGGTGGTCCTCGACACTCTGTGACTTCCTGTGGCTTCTTGGTTTGCTATTGTTTAATCAGTCTTACCTCCGGTGCTTGTTTCCTCTCCCCCATGTTGAATGTACACATTTAGTGTTCTTCTATCTCCTTTCCTTTTAAACTTTTTAACCACTATTAAGAGAGGAAAATTTTAAAGCTTATTAACCCTTTTTAAAACCTTTTGACTTGTTATATCCTCTCATGCCCAGATTCAGAAAATGCAGTGTGCAAAAGAAACTGAGATCACACAGAGGTAACAGCATCCCAATAGTCAGCATTTATTCAAGAGAGATGCATACTATCACCACAAGAGCACATTGTAACACATCACAAAACTCAAAGCACAAACAACACATGAGTTTACCTGAGAGAGGAAATGGACAAAACAATGGAAACGACAAACAAAAAACAAAGACGTTTTTGAGGAACTGTAAAAGCAATTCTGATTCGTTCCTCTGGGGCCCATACTTTTATTCAAAAGGGGGTTTTCTTTGTTTTAATTTATGTAAGTAAGGCGTGTTGTTTCCCTTGTATGGCTAGTTTCAAATTACTAAGTTGGTACGTCCGAAGCAATTTTATTACCTTCTGAGACTTGTTTAATTTCAGGGCTACGGCGCTTCTCTATCTAGACAAGGGAGACCAAAGGTCATTCAGAGCAGCTCTTCTCATGCCAGTTTGAAATGTGATTTTACTCCTAATTCCTGATTGGAACAAAGCCTCTAGTCTTTTACCAGAGTTTGACCAAAAGATAACCTGTCTTAAACCTGTTTTATTTCCCTGTGGGGCAAATTCCTACAAATACAGATCAGTGCAGTAATTTAAAATTGACAGGAAGCCTGCTACGCAAAGTGGTTCAGAACTTCTGCATCCTCTTTAGATCAAAGTGCAGATTTTAAGAATAAAACACTTATAGAATATACCTGAGCATTTTCAATATAAACACATTCATTCTAAACATTTTCCAATTAATATTATGCTAGTTTTGATTATATGTAACTAAGTGATATTACCGCTTGACCTAGGTTAGAGACTCCAAGTAGTTAATATAAAACTACAAATTAGACTACTTTAAGTCATGTTTAAATGGTATTCTACTAATTAAATTGCAATTATTGTTGTTAGTATTATGTGTTGTTTGTCCGTAAGTTTTAGTGTTTCTCTGAGGGAGATGACTTGAGATGTCTCCTCGCTGCTGCTCATTTGAGACAGGCCTGTGTGCCTGGTTCCTTCCTGATAACATTATTTTCTGCACGACTAATTTAAAGCCCTCTAAGATGCTATCCAAAGGAATCTTGCTTAATCCACTATTTTTACGACGTAAGATTTAACTGTATTAAACACTAAGAATATTTATTTTCCTCAACACCACCTTCCCCCCTTTCCTTCATATCGGTGTCCATTAAATTTTAAATAAACCCAAATAAATTTCTAATAAAGTTGTATATGTACGTCAAGCATTATGATGAAAGCCTTAATGCCCTGCTTGTGAAAGTAAATCTGTTGGGCCTCACCTTGACACAGACAACAATTGTGCCACTCTGCTGACAGGACATGCTAAACAAACAAAAAGTGCTTTATAACTTCAACTGTGCTCATTTGTTTGGAATTTGTGGGTCCTAAAAACAAACAATTCTAGAAATGATAAGATTCACGTTTTTATTAAATTTTCATACAATTTCTACATTACAACAGATGATTAAATTTTTTTAAATGAAAAAAAAAACAACAACACAGCAGAACAGGTACAATTAAGAAAGCCCAACTGTTCAAAAATATTCATTTATCACACAATTTACAAATGCATATTTTTTTGCCAAAAATGTATAAATTGGCATTTATATCATTTATATTTGTTGAAGGATATGAAAGGTGACAAGAAATATTAGTTGCTATGTTAGCAAATAACACATTTATACACATAAATTTATTTATTTATTAATGTTCAGAAAATACACATGATAACAAAAACAATCTTTTTGAGAGGAATAAAGGTTCTGACCTGTCATTATGAAAATATATTGATATTATTGCTTAGTATTAACATGCCAACAACTCGCTTAAAATAAATGGGAATGCTGGCAGTTTTAAAGAACATATAAATCATGTCTACAACACAGGCGCCAACAAAATCAGTACATCAAATCTGTACAAAGAGGATTTCATGCGGCCAATCAGAGCCACATGTTACATCTTGTGATAAAGCAGAAACAAAGACACACAAATGTCAGAATATTGAGTCATTGCAATGATGCTAAGAGGATAATTCCAGGTCTGAATGTTTTAAATGAAAGAAAATACAAAGTATCATAAATCTTTGCCAACTTATCTGGAAAAAGAGTTCACAGTCGCTGCCATTTCTATGGGATGTGATTTGATTAAAAAGTCGTGTCCATTTCAGAATATTTATGTGTCCATGCCGCTGTTCAGCTCCTCCCAGAGTTTCTGAACCATTCCAAGCTCCGTTGACACATCTAAGGAAGTAATGTTTGTCATTAAATGTTTGATGACAGGAATGTTAGTGACATATTTCCAGTTATGTCCTAAAATAATTCATACCCTTGACAGATTTATGTTCAAAAGTATTTTCAATCATCAAAGATGTTTGAATTTAATAGGAAATGAAATAAGTATTTCTCAAAAGATGAGACATGAAAATAATTTACTTTGTTTGCTTCAATTTTAGCAAATAACTCCAAGCATTAAATTATTTATAGTCCTAGTTACTGAATTTTAATAAATATCAATTAAAATATCTATTGGTTTTCCACCAAATGACTAGAGTTTGTTTCACCTGGTTTTTAGACAATTTAATGAGCTCAAATGTTTTGAGGTTGGACGGTCATCTTTAACCTCCTCCACTAGATAAAAGCTAAAACTCTGGTTGGATCACTTCAGACACTTAAGATCCAAAATTGGTGTCAGAAGAAATATCTTAAACCAAAGATTATTTTTAGCCTAAAACTGCCAAGAGAGGATCACATGGTAATTTTACCTGGGATTGTACAGTCTTCAGTCTTGAGGGACAGCTCAATCGATTCCATCATGTCTTTTTCCAGAAGTCCCAGGATATCCGCCTAATTTATCATTATAATAATTAGTAAGAATTTATTGATACGAATTTACAAATGCTTATGAATGTTGGAATGCTTCTTTTCAGCAGACATATAGAAGCAGTTTAGTTTAGATTGAATGTAGCTAAATACAGGAAGTCCTGGGAAACAACTCAAAAGACTCTGCAGAAGACTGAACCTCACCATCGAACAGGACAACACTCAACATGCAGCCAGAGGTACAGAGGAACGCTCAAAGTCAATGTACAGATTTAAATCCAACTGAGAGCCGGTGGCAAGACTTTAAAACTGATATTCACAGACAATTCAGTCTGACAGAGTTTGAGGCATTTTGCGAAGAAAAATAGACAAAATATTTAATCTCTAGTAAAACAAACTTGGTAGAAAAGTATTCTAAAACATATTATTACCTCAGTATAACCTCAAGGGAATGAATGCAAGAATAATATCCAAAACATAATTTTCCTTCCAATTGACAATGATTCATTTGTGCTAGTCTACAAATAAATGAATCATTCATTCTTAGTGGCTGTAATCTGATAAAATATCACAAAGCTGAATGGATGTGGATGCTTTTAAAAGACATTGTCTGTTAAATGTAATCATGAAATTTTAATGCATAAAATGAAACAAACCATCAGTTTGAGGAGAAGATCCAACATGACATTTTTGGCTTTCTCAAACATGCTGTTCTGGAAATTGTGCACATAGACCTGTATTGTTTCCCTTATGTTCTGCAGTGTGTTCTTTCCTCGAAACTCTGCTGCTTCTACAAAAAAAGAGAAGTTAATTAATGTCCAAACAATAACACAAATTAGTAGCATCTATTGTTTTGATGAAAAAACCAGCTATTACTTTCATAGCACTCTTTCATGATTTCCTCAACTGTTTTTGTTAGACTCATGTAGATGACTTTTTTGTTGTCACGAATCATTTTGTTCAGTTTTGTCTTAATCTTTTCCTCCTAAGGAAAAAACAGTCAAGAGTCAAACCCAGAGAGTCAATGAATTGTCATATTACATGATTTAGAGCAGTTGGATTCAGTATTAATGTTTTCTCATACCTCTGTCTTGAGAAAAGTCAGCTGCAGTCCTGCATCCGTGTACTTTGGTTTTAGTTTTTCAGTGTCAAGTGAAAACTTGTTGATCACTCCATTGAATGGACCACAATTTCCTTCATTGCTGAAAAATTTTACCACATTTGAATTATTTATAGAAGATCCTAAATTTCAGTAAAGCAACTGTGTTTATAAAGTTCTTACGGGAAGGTTTTTCTGAATTCCTCATCGATGCTTTTATTCAAGAATGAAGTTAATTTCATGTTGAAATTTATTTCTTTCCCCTTTTTTGGTTTGTGGATGCCACCATTTTTGACGACACTCTTCAGGATGTAGTATTGAGCACTTCCACTCTTTCTCTGGGAAAAAAAAAAAAACAGATATTAAAAAGAAATAAGTAAAAGGACAAAAATACAAACTGGTTAGAACATAGATTCATAAAACTATCAGATTACGTACTGTAGGATATAAGAAGAATTTCAGGGTATTTTTACAAGAACTTTTGGAAGTTTCAACTCCTTCATCAAGACATTTTATAAAGGTGCTGTAGATGTCCCGCATTTCATCTCTGATTCCATCAAGTTGACAGTTCAGGTTTGTCTCAAGGTCATCACACACAACTTTGTAACAGTCAGCCTAAAAGAAATACACATTATTCATTTAAAACATCATTAACTGAGTCATTTGAAGTTCACTGGATCCTGGTTA